CAAACAACCCAATCCAAAAATGGGCTGAAGACCTAAACAAGCAATTCTCCAGTGAAGACATACAAATGGCCAAAAGGCACATGAAAAAATGCTCAGTATCACTAATTATCAGAGAAATACAAATCAAAACTACAGAGAAATACACATCAAAACTACACCAGTCAGAAGGATCATCATTCAAAAGTCCACAAACAATAAATAGAGGCTGTGGAGAAAAGGGAACCCTCCCACACAGCTGGTGGGAATGCACTTTGGTGCAGCCGTTATGGAAAACAGTATGGAGATTCCTCAAAAAACTAAAAATAGACTTACTGTATGATCCAGCAATCGCTGTAAATTAGGCTGCTCCTGGAACTTCACACAAATGGGGTCACACAGTAGGTAGCACTGTATGTCTGGCCCCTTTACTCAGTTTAATGGTTCTGAGATTCAGCTGTTGCAGGAATTGGCAGTTTGCGCCTCTTCTTGGATGGATGGACCATTGTCCAGACTGGTCACAATTTATTTATTGGTCCACCTGCCAATGGACAGTGGGCTGTTTCCAGCTTTCAGCAATTATGAAGAGTCTTTTTGGCAATTACTAACCTTGCTGTCCAAGCCTCTGGTGGCCAGGAGTCCTCGTGTCCAGGGCGTCTACCTGGAGCAGAATGCCTGGTGCAGTCTTATCTTTCACATCAAACTGTTACCAAACCAAACTTGGGTCCACTCGCCCGCGCACAGTCACGCCAATCCACCGACGCCAGGCTGTGCTGAGGGAAAGTGCAGCGTTTACTGCCAGCGCCCAGCAAGGAGTCCAGGCGGCTAGTGCTTACAAGACCCGAACTTCCTGAAAGCTTTCAGGGAAGAGGGAGGGCGGGGGGCTGTGGGCGTGTGATCAGCGCGTGGACGTTCTTCTGATTGGTTGGTGGTGAGGTTACCGGGAGTGAACACCATCAACCTTCTGGTTCCAACGGGTCGGGGTCCATGTGCTTATGGGCGGCACACAGTTAACTTCTTCCACCTGGTGGGGGTTTCAGGCTCTGCAAAACAGCTTAAAGGATATGGCTCAGAATATTAGCAACAGCCCTGGAGGAGGAACCAGTCCTTGCCTTTGTTTAATGGCTAAACTATTATTATTTTGTTTTCTTGACTGTTTTCCTTCCTTTCTGCATTTTCTCACGTCTCTGATTAAATGTACTATTTGGAATTCAGAGAAGTCTAGGAGACCAAAGTTTTTCTACAGACAAGAGGCAGGTGGAGAATATGGTGGGGGAGTGTGGGGGGGGTGTGGGGGGTGTCTGTTCCTGGAAGGGTCCTGCTAGGTTACAAAATGGCAAAGAAAAGAGGCTGGACTTTGGGGGGGGGGAGTTGGGGGAGGAAGTAATTAAGTTTATTTATTTATTTTTATTTATTTATTTTTTGACGGAGGTTCTGGGGATTGACACAGGGCCTCATGCGTGCTAAGCATGAGCTCCACCACTGAGCTCTACCCACCCCCACTTTGCGTTTTCACTCTTCCAGCAGCACCGAGGGTTCCACGTGTCTCACGCTCTTCCAACCCTCGATGGCCACATCAGTCTCTCTGACTTGACATGGGACTTGTCTGCACAATCAGGCTTGTCCTGACGGGAGATTCTGCTCACTGGGCCCGGAGCTGAGATCCCAGAGACCAGTGTTCGGCCCCAAGATGACACCTACCAGCCTTGTGACTGAGTCGCACCATTCCTCTCTCTGGGCCTCAGTCCCTTTGTCTACAAAATGGGAGAGTTAGCTCCAGAGCTCAAAACCGGGCTGTTGTTCTCCTGACAAATCTGGCCTCTACTCATTGTTTGACCCACATAATGATATATGGACTTTGCATTGGTTGCTAATCTGTAGAAATCGGCAAGTTTCATCTAAAACCAAGATTTGGGCCTCTTTTGAGAAGTGAGTCCTTCCCTCATGGCTGTGGAGGGCTGGGAGAAGTGCCCCCCACTTAGAGGTCTCCTGTCAGCATCAGGGGCTCAGCCTATGTAACTCTAAAGGCCTGTCTGAAAAATCCTAGCTTCTCTGAAGAGGATCCTGGAGTGGGGGATTGAGGTTACAGGGTGTTAGGGTTGCCAGATTTGGCAAATAAATATATAAGACGCCCTGAGTGGCGGCCTTTCGCCTGCCTAGGAGGCTGACTTCAAGGACTGCAAGTTCAAGGTGCAATTCTGATTCTTACCACCAGGAGGAAGCAGAGCTGCAAAGTTGACCTCACTCTTGCAGGACCAGAGCGGTCCTCTGCTGGGACCTGGGGATGAAGCAGGCGGGAGGGGCCGCAAGGGGGCCCCAGGAGGTGCAGGAAGCTGAAAGGAGATGGAGGAGGGAGGAGCCGACGACTGTGCCTGAGCCAGTGTCTGGCAACAAGGGGAGGGCCGAGGTGGAGAGGCCGCCATGGGTGTGATCAGAAGGCTTCTGGAAAAGGAGACTCTTGAGCTAGGCCTAAAAGACAGGAAGGATTTGGATAGTGCAGGAGAAGCGCCCTTGAGGAGGGAGGCAAGGTTGGAGCAGAGGAGGGAGGCAAGGTTGGAGCAGAGGCGTGGAGGGAGGAATGAGTTTGCACAGGGAGTGTAGCCTGGCAGTAAGCCAATGTCAGAAATTCTCAAGTACTTCAAACATTGTTTTAGTCGTGATTTATGGATACAAGGGATAGAAACCCACCTTGAACTGACCTGACTTAAGAAAAAGAGAAAAAAGTATGCTCTCATGTAACTAAAAAGCCCAGGACAAGAAAGACTTCAGGCATGGCTGCATCCAGGAACTGAATCAAATGATGTCACCGTGCCTCTGCCTCTCTGTCTCTTGGCTCTGCATCTCCCTGTGGTGGTTCCATTCTCAGGCAAGCTGCCTCCTCCAGGTGGCAAGATAGCTACCAGCAGCTTCAGGCAGACCCCAGAACATTCTAGCAACCACCAGGCAAGGAGAGAACTTCATTCACGATTCCACCAGCTGTCCTGGCGGTTACTCTGATTGGCCTGGCCTCTGTCCCATACCCATCCAGAAACCAGTTGCTGCAACTCTGATTGACATGGTCTGAGTCACAGGCCACCTCTGTTATGAGGGGTGGAGCCATCTACCCCGATTCCCCGCAGACCCTGTGATACCGGGGAAGGGGATATTCTCCAAAGGGGAAAAGCAAGATGGTTTTCTCAGAAGATGAGACGATGTGTGCTGGGAAGAGAAAGAGAAGAGGCACCTGTACCAGGTTCTCACCTGAGGGATTGTCAATCAGAAGTTGTGGGGCAGAGACGGGTGGGGCATGAGGTTTATTTTTGTTGTATGTTTGTTTGTTTGTTTTGCTTATTAAATGTGAATATACAAGTGGTTGTTTTAAAGCCAAGCCTATAGCCTCCATCTCGGCCCAGACCTCCAGTGCGCCTTACCTGGACAGCGGCAGCCTGAACTCGTTCATGTGATGACTAATAGTGGCATCTACCATGCCAGATGCTGTGCCAGAAGCTGAGGGTGCAGCAATGAACAAAAGAGATAAAGTCCTTGCCTTCCTGGAGTTTATAGTGTGATGGGGGAGATGGATAAAAACAAAGAGACAACTAAATGCACAATGTGGCCAGTGATGGTTAAATGCTGTGAAGAAAAATCAAGCAGGGTAATGGAAGGTCAATTGGTGTGCGTGTGTGCATGTGTGTGCATGTGTGTACATTTGTGCATGTGTATGCATGTGTGCAATTTCATACAGGATGTTCAGGAACATTTGAGCAGAAACATGAAGGTGGTAAGAACTGACCCAAGGAGAGATCTGAAGATGAGCGTTCTGGGCAGAGAGAGCAGCAAGTGCAAAGGCCCTGAGGCAGGAATGAACTTGGTGTTTTCAAGAAATGACAAAAATCCTCAGGGCTCTAAGTGAAGGGGAGAGTCAGGAGGGGAGGTCAGAGGAGTAGAGGAGACTGAGGCAGGTGGTACAGGGACCTGTGGGCCACTGTAAGAACTTCTGTTTTTACTCTCCCTAAAATAAGGGGCCAGGGGAGGTTCTGAGGAGCGGAGGGACATGATCTGAGTTTGGTTTTTAAAAGAACCATCTAGCAGGAAATATTGAAAAGATACATGCACCCCAATGTTCATAGCAACACAATTTACAATATCCAAGACAGAAAACAACCTAAATGTCCATCAACAGATGACTGGATAAAAAAGTTGTGGTTTATTTATACAATGGAATACTACTCAGTCATAAAAAGAATGAAATAATACCATTTGCAGCAACACGATGGACCTAGAGATCATGATTCTAAGTGAAGTAAGTCAGACAGAGAAAGAAAAAATACCATATGATATGACTCATATGTGGAATCTAAAAAAAAATGACACAAATGAACTTATTTACAAAACAGAAAGAGTCTCACTGATACAGAAAACAAAGTTGTGATTACCATTGGGTAAAAGGAAGGGTGGAGGGATAAATTGGGAGTTCGGGATTTGCAGATACTAACTACTATGTATAAAATAGATAAACAACAAGGTCCTACTGTACAGCACAGGGAACTATATTCAGTATCTTGTAATAGCCTATAATGAAAAAGAATGTGAAAAGGAATATATATATGTAGTGTGTAACTGAATCACTATGCTGTACACCAGAAATTAACACAATTAACTTCAGTTTAAAAAAAAGAAGGAAAATAAGAGTTGTAGATTGCCTACATTAGGAAGATGTGAGGATTAAAATAATTCATATTCTTAGAACGGTGCTGGACACATGGTAAGTGCTTTGGAAACGTTACCTTATTATGAATTACCTCTTGGGCCCAGTCACAGGCTCTCTGAGAAGCTGCAGGGCTCAGTCTCAGCTCGAAGACTGGCCCGCTGCTCATCCTTCCTGATTCAAAAAAACCCTCAGAAGCGTTAATTCACCAGAAACAAAATTGCAGAATGAGCCCTTCAAGGCCATCTAGTTCAGTCCTCTGTGACCATTTTGCAGAGGGAAACTGAGGCCCAGCAAGGGACTTACCCAAGCGATAAATGGGAGGCAAGATGGCAAACTTTAGGAGGAAGATTTTGGAACAGACAGACTCAGGCTTGAAGCCCAGCTGAGTGACCTTGGGTCAGTTCCTCTGCCTCGCGGGGCCTCAGGGTCCTTGTCTGTAAAGTGAGTCATCACTGCACCTGTGGCTGGACATTGAGCGATGCTCTCTAAGTGCTTGTTACATGTCAGCTCCTGTGTCCCACCAACATTCCCCTGAAACATGGGCATGTATGTGGACATTCTGGAGGGAGGGGGCCTTCCTAGATACCCTGGCCTGGGGGGCTTCAACCCTAGGCCTGCCCCCTGGTTCTGGCTCCGCACGAGTCTCCCAGCTCAGCAGAGGCCCCTGTCTAGCCAGCACTGTGGTCCCACTAGGAAATCGATCCCGGCTGGCTGTCACTCACCGCCCCAGCGCCGTGGAGCTGCTTAATTGCATAGATGTTGGCGCCGCCGCCAAGGCCTCGTTCGTCAGAGCCGTGTGGTCACAGCCGTGCTTGGCTGAGAGGTACATTCATTACGGAGACAGCTTTCATCGGGACTTCCAGAGGGACTGGGCGAGGAGCAGAGCGGGCAGGCACGCTCCGTCCCCGGGGGGCAGCAGGCCTCTCAACTTCACGTGGGGCCCCTCTCCGCCCAGGCTCGATGCTTCGTGAACGTGGGCTCACAACAGCCCCACGAGGAAGGGGTGATGTTTCTGTCCTCGTCCTCGTCCCCGTTTTACAGATGGGGCGGCCGGGGCCGGGGAAGTGAAGTGGCTTGTCCAAGTTCACTCAGATGACGAGAGGGGCCGGCGGCTGTGGGGCGGCCTCTCAGTGGTAAGGGTGCTGATACAGGTGATGTCACAAGAACACTGGCACTTCCAGGTTTTGAGAGTTAACGGGGCACAGGTGTCGTGCCAAGCACCTTTACGAACTGACTTTATTTCACTTTGACTCAGATACGGATGAACAGCCCAGTTTTCCCCACTCCCTTGTATGT